TCGTCGTCGTCATCGTTGTCGTCTTCGTAGTCGTCGTCGTCGTCGTCGTCGTTGTTGTGATCGTCGGCGTTGGCGTTGGCGTAGTCGTCGGCGTTTTTGTCGCCGTCGTCGTCGTCGTCGCCGTCGTCGTCGCCGTCGTCGTCGCCATCGCCGTCGTCGTCGTGGGCGTCGTCGTGGTCGTCGTCGTCATTGTCATCTCCGTCGTCGTCGTCGTCGTCGTCGTCGTCGTCGGCGGCTTGGTCGTCGTCGTCGTCGTCGTCATCGTCGTCGTCGTCGTCGTGGTCGTCGTCGTCGTCGTCCTCGTAATCGTCGTCGTCGTCGTCGTCGTCGTTGTTGTGATCGTCGGCGTTGGCGTTGGCGTCGTCGTCGGCATTTTTGTCGTCGATGCTGTCGTCATCGCCGTCGTCGTCGTCGTCGCCGCCGTCGTCGTCGTCGTCGTCGTCGTCGTCGGCGTCGTCGTCGTCGTGGTCATTGTTATCGCCGTCGTCGTCGTCGTCGGCGGCTTGATCGTCGTCGTCGTCGTCGTCGTCGTCGTCGTCGTCATCGTCGTCATCTTCGTAATCGTCGTCGTCGTCGTTGTTATGATCGTCGGCGTTTGCGCCGGCGTCGTCGTTTGCGCCTTGTCGTCGTCGCCGTTGTCGCCGTTGTCGTCGTTATCGCCGTCGTCGTCGTCGTCGTCGTCGTCGTCGTCGTCGTCGTCGTCGTCGTCGTCGTCGTCGTCATCGCCGTCGTTGTCGTCGGCGTCGTCGTGGTCGTCGTCGTCGTCATCGTCGTCGTCGTCGTCGTTGTTGTGATCGTCGGCGTTGGCGTTGGCGTCGTCGTCGGTGTTTTTGTCGCCGTCGTCGTCGTCGTCGTCGTCGTCGTCGTCGTCGTCGTCGTCGTCGTCGTCGTCGTCTTCGTCGCCGCCGTCGTCGTCACCATCGCCGTCGCCGTCGTCGGCGTCGTCGTGGACGTCGTCGTCGTCATCGTCGTCGTCAACATCGTCGTCGGTGGCGGCTTGATCGTCGTCGTCGTCGTCGTGGTCGTCGTCTTCGTAGTCGTCGTCGTGGTCGTCGTAGTTGTTGTGATCGTCGGCGTTGGCCTTGGCGTCGTCGTTGGCGTTCTGGTCGTCGTAGCCGTCGTCGTCGTCATCGTCCTCGTCGTCGTCGTCTTCGTCGCCGCCGTCGTCGTCGTCGCCGTCGTCGTCGTCGTGGTCGCTGTCGTGTCGCCGTCGTCGCCGTCATCGTCGTCGCCGTCGTCGTCGTTGTCGCCGTCGCCGTTGTCGTCGTCGTCGTCGCGGTCGTGTCGCCGTCGTCATCGGCGGCTTGATCGGCGGCGTCGTCGTCGTCGCCGTCGCCGTCGTCGTCGCCGGCGTCGCCGTCGTCGTCGTTGTTGCCGTCGTCGTCGTTGCCGTCGCCGTCGTCGTCGTCGTCGTCGTCGTCGTCGTCGTCGTCGTCGTCGTGGCCATCGTCGTCGTTGTCGCAGTCGCCGTCGTCGTCGTCGTCGTCGTCGTCGTCGTCGTCGTCGTCGTCGTCGTCGTCGTGGTCGTGTCGCCGTCGTCATCGGCGGCTTGATCGGCGGCGGCGTCGTCGTCGTCGCCGTCGCCGTCGTCGGCGGCGTCGTCGGCGGCGTCGTCTTCTCGTCCTCGGCAGGCGCGCTTCATGCCTCGTGCGCCCACCACGCGGGGAACCTCAGGCGCTTCGTCGCCGACGGGGGCGTCCAGGAAGCTCCCGGGCGCCGCCGCCGCCGCAAGCGCCGCCGCCGCCGCCGCAGGGATAGGAGGACTCCCCTTAAGTCGGGCCTGTCCCTCTACAGGACAAATTTTCAAGAATAGTCATAACATTGTCAGGGGATTTTTTTGTTTGTGTGTTTTGGTTTTTTGTTTCTATAAAAAACATTTTTGAGTATTTTTGACTATTAATATTTCTCTCTCGAAAATCGGCCTGTAGGGGGACAGGCCCGACCAAAGACTCCCCCCCTCCCGCAGGGGGAGGAGGCGAGTCTCGCTGTCGTTCGGCAGCAAACCACGGGAGCCTGGTCTGCCCCCTAACGTCCCGTCTTTGGCGTCGTCAGCGTCGATGAACGTCTGGGGGTCGGTGGGATGGCGCCGATGTGGCATGGGCTAGCGTCGATTAGTGTCGATTAGCGTCGATTTAGCGTCGATGTAGCGTCGATTGGCGTCGATTTAGCGTCGACTAGCGTCGATTCGCAAGAGCCGACAAGATGGTATGGGAGGCTCCCCTGAGCTGCCACCGAGGGGAGGAGGTGAGTCTCGCTGTCGCCGTGGCTTTGAGGCTGTTTCGCTGCCTCGACGCTCGCTCTCCTCCTCCAGAGCTCGGCGCCGCGCGGGAGGGGGGGCGGCGCTAGCAGCAGGAGGGGGGCTCGACCTCTTGGGATCTTGAGGCCATTCGCCCACTGCGGGCCCCAAAGGGGCTCCCCCGTGGCCGCGGCCAGACGCAGCTCGGGAACGGGCCTCGAGCAGAGCTGGGCATGGGGCGGCGCGCGGGGGGTGGCCGCCTCT